ATTTAGATGTAAACTTGATAAACTTATCAATACATTGGTATTTAACAAGCACCCCCTATTCCTCCCTTAGAAAGCTAGGCATCAGCCAGAGAACTTCCTAGACTGGTTCATTATACTTGGAAATGCTATTATATCTGATTAGTATTCATCCTTGCCTCTATCTAAATGTACATGTTGAAAGCCTAATATTTACCAAGTATAGTACTAAGTTTTGAAATCCAGCAAAGAAAACACACAATGCTTATTTTAAGAAATATGGAGCCCTATTGAATCCCAGATTATTATGATTCTATTTTTTGTCAGATCTGGGAAAATTAGGAAGTGAGTGAATTTTAGTAGTAATCTGACAAATTCAAATTTAAGATCATTATGCAGGAATATGACAGAGTTGTACTGTTTTCCAATGTTATAAAGGTGACTGGACAAGAGAGCAAGTGTGTGCTCTGGCATGATGCTGTGTCCACCTGGAAGAAGAGACTCATTTTCTAATTTTCGCAAAGGTGTCCAATGGATGAGTGGGGTACACGAAAATGAGAATAAGGTGGAAATGGCATAGCTACTCAAAACTGCATTCCTGTAGCAGGAGGAAGGGAATCTGGTGAATGGTGCACTGCCTTTTAAAGCTTACATGTAGAAGTAACACACATCCCTTTTGCTCTTTTTCTCATTGCCAAAGGAGAGAGTTTGATCCCACCATGTGTTCAGAAGTAGAACTGTCATATTTATGCAAAGTGTTAATAACTCCTATACCAGGTTAGAGAAGGACCCAGATCTCTTGTTCCTATATTTAAATATGAGTTCAAGAACTCTCTCCAAAATCAACTGTAAGTAATTTGAATTATATACTCACTAAATAACCTGCACTGTATTAATGTAGATATATAGAAAGTGGCTATTTTCCTTCTGGTCTTTAAAATTACAATAGATGTAAGAACAAAATATAATAAAGTTTAAAAAAAATTTTGATGTGGGTAGAGTATAAATCATATAAAAACTTTACTATATTTTCTATTGAGACAGAAAAGCAGCATATTTCTCCTTTATTCTATAATTAGCATATTCTGAAGTTATACTAAAGACTTTGATACACTAAAATGAAGGCTTATTACATTTTATGGTATTTGGGTCCATCTTCTTAGTATATAGAATAGTTGCAGCAAGAGTGTTTTCATACTTAGTAGCCACTTTTTCTTCCCTTAGAATCCTGGTATGCTCCAGCACACTCTGTCCACATTAAGACTTGTGAGAAAATCCCAATTGGTCAAACTTAATCACTGTCATGCCATTCTTGCTAGTATTGTATTTACAAGTGGATTTATGACTTTTCTGGCCAATGACTGGTGAGTGATAGTCTGAAGGAAAACTTTCTTCACTCTTAAAAAATACTTGAGACAGTAATTTTTCTTGCTAGACATTTATAGTCTGTGGGATGCCTGGAACAGTAGCAGCCAACTTATGACAATGAAAGAAATAGTTTAGAAAAAACAGGTTGAGGAAGATGGAAAGCCCTTAAATTCCTGAGTTCTATCTTTTGTTACACAAGATAAAAAAAAATTCCTTAATTCTTTAAGTGCTTCTCAAAATGCTGGTTTGAGACTATTGCCAAAATGTAAATCAACACACACTTTTCATCATCAGCAAAGTTTGTCTACAAAGAGGAAAAATATCAGATGGACTAAAGTGTTCAAATGCTAGAGCTAACATTTTGATGTAAACTGTTAATCTTACCGAGTTTCCACAACCATCGGGTAATTTCGACACATTTACATTTGGTTGCAGAATCCAATTCAGCCAATTATGTAGGAAATATTCATTCCTATAAAACATTGAAACATACATTTTGGTCTATAGGAGGCCAAGAACTTGCTTTTTATGTAATTTTGCCATTCTTGGCTTTAACAATCCTTTCAATAAATGTTCATTGATCACTTACCAAATTACAGATGCAGGACACATGAATAAATAAATAAAAGCCTCTGGTCACAGAAAGATCACAAACTAGTAAGGCAGATAGGTAAGGAAATTAGTAATTACAGTACATGCTTAATCATGAGGCTGCTTACTAGAGTGCTGCAGACTTATGTGTAGCGTGTTAGGGATAATGGGGAGAAATGAGCAAAAGCAAGCTTTACAGAAAAGGTGGCACTTGAGCTAAGGCATGGAGGTGGCACACAATAGTCAGTGCTGTACGGTTGAAACTGTGGGGAAGTGACTGAACACCAGGGCAAGGAGCTGGAGTCTTACTCTGAAGGTGATTGCTTATTATTACTAGCTCTTTTAGCACCACTCTGGAATCACTTTTGGAGGTGGTAAGGTTGAAATGTCTGCTGGACAGCTGGTCAGAACTGTGGCTTGGGTGACTGGAAATATCAATCTGTACTATTGCAGAATGGCTTACCTACACAATGCCTATTAGTTCCTCCATCTCACTTGTGTAGCTCCACTGCAGCCTAAAGAAATTTGCCTAAATTTAGGCATTTAAAAAAAATCTTCACAACTATTAAGTTAGATATTTTATTTGTCATACAAGTAAGGAACAAGCTTTTGAAGCAGATGAATGTGTCAAGCCTGGTTTTGAATCTCAGTCTTGAAGCCACATTAACTTCTACTATACTCAATATTTTTGCTTTCCTACAGCATGGCCATAAGATAGATAACTATGGAAACAATGATAGTGGCTTCTCTTAATGAATTCGGAGTTCTGACTAAAATCTCTATTTAGGTATTATGGTAAGGGAAGCATCTGTAAAAGCTACAAATTTTACTTGGCCTTGCTTAATTTTACATAGGTATATGGGCGTTTATCCAGTATAATTTTCAAGAGAAATCTGTATTTTGGGGGAACCTTGTGGTTTTAAGTGTCAGCCTGAATTTGTAAAAACTAGGGTATGAAATTATAGTCATTTTTCCCCTCTGTGGTGGTTTTTCACAAACATTTTGTTTTTAAACCAATACTAAAAAACTAGCTTCCATTACAAAACCAAAACAAACAAAAAAAGCCTTGCAAAATATTGTACTAGTCACATGCCTACGTGAAAACTGTTACAACTCATTTTGTGTTAGCTTGGCTAGACCACTGGGCATCCAAATATTTGGCCAAACAATATTCTGGGTATTTCTGTTAAGCTGTGTTTTGAATGAGATTATCATTTAAATTGGCGGACTTTTGAGTAAGCAGATTGCTCTTCATATTGTGGGTGAACCTCATTCAATTGGTTGAAGGCCTTAATGAATATACTTACTTCCAAGGAGGAATTATGCCAGTAGATTACCTTTGGATTTTTTCCTGGGTCTTGAGCCTGCTGTTAATACCCAGATTTTGGGCTCATCAACCCTCCACAATTGCATGAGACTTAAATCCCTTTCCACAGGCACCCTGTTGTATGTTTCTCCAGGAAACTCTAATATAGAAACTAAGCAGTTGTCTGGCCTCTACTACTCACACCATACTAGAGCTAGCCTATTGAAGCCTTTTTTATGGGCATAGAAGCAGGGGAGGCTTTTCTCTCACTTATGTATATCCCTCAAGCACTTTTTTATCTAGACCTGGCTACCCACTACTATTATTTTTGTTTTCTTAATGTATTTCAAACCAGGAAAAAAAAAAAAATCAATTCATTTAGGATTTGTCAGAAAATGTTTTTGTAGCTCACTGGATCTCAAAACAATCCAATGAGGTAAGCACTATCTCCATTTCCCCCAAATGGAAAACTGCATCATTTTATGAACCCTAAATTTATTCCTGCCTCCTTTTCTGAGAGAAAACCTTAATGTTCCACAGAAAAAAACTCAACACAGGATGATACCCAATTCATCACTGGACATTCAAAAAATGACGACATAGAAGTGCAGGGAATATATGGGCAATCACATAGACTAAGGTTGCATCCATATTTAAGTAGTTGCCAGGTGCTTGCTGAAGATTCTAAAAATAGGCCCTAGCACATAAACGGAGAAAAATCAAAATTGAAGGTTCTAGCAAATTGGTTTTATAGGAAGTCATATAGGAAATCTAATGTTATGGTGAGGAATGGCATAAGTAGCTATTTTATCCCATGAGCGATATAGAAGCATCTAGAGCAATTTTTCAAGCATCCAGAAATACTTTTATGTGAATATTCTGGTATTTAAATGTTAGTTTAAAAACAATGTGGCAATCACTCACCAAAAAGATTAGAGGCTAAACAATCACCAGTTTGCAACGTGTTTTACAGTATTCTTCCAACACAAGTAGTATTTCATTAGTGACCAATGTGGGATTAAAATATTCAGTAGTTAATTACTACCCTCAGTTTTACACAAAATCCTAGGAACTAAGTCATTGTATTTTAAATGGCAAGCAGTACTTTACTATTTAGAATATGAATTTGATTCCCAGATACAATTGCTAATCAGAGCAATATTTTACTTCATTTCTACTAGGGTATATTATAGTCAAAGCTCCAGAATACATTGGGAACATTTCCTATATCTTACATGCTACTATATTCCCTGCAAATATCATTTTTCAGTTTATACAAGACTAATATTGGTCACCAGTACATCTACTGAGGTAAAAATTTCAGTTTTAGGTTATAGGCCTAGAGGGGAAAAAAACAAACAAGCAAACAAAAAGCTCTTAAAAACCCGATTAACCAGAACTTCAATCCGTTTACACTACTGGTTTTCTTCATGATTAATAAATCCCTCATAGAGAAAAACCAATTTACACTGTCAAAGTAAAGGGAAGACTAAAAGTATATCTTTTTTCTCCCTTTAAATTAAAAAAAGAAGTCTAATTTGTATTTCTCTTTTATAACATAAATCGCCATCAAGGCCCTGACATAGGGATCTAAAAGTAAATAAAATCTCAGCATTTAAGACCATAAAACAGGCTAAATTACACAGTTCTTAAGAAACTGATACTGGAATATTACCCAAATAAGAAAGTAAGCAAATGCTTATTTTTTCATTCAAATGCTCAATTGTCACATTTCTCATTTCAGAAAAGAGACATTAAGTATTCATATCTTAAGTTTATTTACAAACATATCTAGTATGCCATGAGTTCAAGAGTTTGATCCATTTTTCAAAGATTGCACCTCTTAAAATGCTTTTCATATCTGCAAAATAAAAACAAAAATAGCATTAAAAAATCCCATTCATTTAACAGAAGTCATGTAGTTTCATTAAAATACTATCACTACTTTGACAGGTACATCAGAAAGCGTTTACAGTATCATGACTTTATTCATACTGATTTGCTTCATCATATGCACCAAAACATTTCTGTATGAAGGGCTTGGATAAATCATTCCCCTTCTAAACTATGACATATAGTCTTCCCTTTCTAAGGTATACTGTGGAATTCATTCCAATCATCCAACAGGGTGTCCTATTACTTTGAGAAACTCTGATCACAATTAAGCTAAATAAACTTTTTATTTACACACAGGAAATTTGCAAACACCCCAATACAAGAGATTCTTTTGGATATGTAACATATTCTCTTAATGCAGGGTTTCTCTACCTCAACACTACTGGCATTTTCCTCCCAGTTGGGACAATCAAACAGTGTCTCCAGACATTGGCAAATGCCACACCATGGAGCAAAATCACTCCCATTTGAGAATCACTGCTTAACGAGAAAGTATTTTCAGAAGTTTTGAGTTTCCCAAGATAGCCGAGTTGGTTAGGCATAGATTTATAATAATACAAATATCTGGGACTGATATATCAAGGAACACTAGAAGGATTTTATCTTCTAGGCTTTTCAAAACTTAAATCAATATTATAAGCCTAGGTTTTAAAAACTGGAAAGATGTATAATGACTATTTTCAAAAGGAATTGAAAAGCTTATAGTGTTTTAAAAGACATGTTCTAAGCCACTGTTATTTTAGTAAAAGTGTTCACGACACGATAGCATTCATCAGTTTACCTAGTTAAAAAGTGTGAGCTCTTGAACAAGACTGCCTGAGTAAGAATCCTGGCCTCCATCACTAGCTATGGGATCTTGGACAACTTAACATCTTTGTATCTCAGATGGGATTAATATCATCTACCTTACAGGCTTGCTTGGGAACCACATGAGGTAATCAACACAAAGTGTGCCTGACAAACAGTAGTATCCAAAAAACACTGGCCATTATTAAAGTATTTGTTTATAAGTTTACCAATCAACCTCCACCAATGCCACATGTACATATAACTTCAGGAATCAGCCCTACACAACAATGTATTTGTGTGTTTTTCAGGGGATGGGAAGATATGACATAAAAGGGGGGAAAAGGACTGTGTTAGGAAGATTATAAATCCATTCATTACCTGTTAAAGGATGAATTAAAACATCTTTACTTCTTAAGCAATTGGTGTCTTACAATGAAGAAAGGTGCAGCAAATCCAGATCCAAAGTACACAGTCATCATAGCTAGTAACCGCCACTTATTTTCCACAGAAAACGGCAAATTCTGATGGAAAGAGAACAAGTAACAAAACAGAACTTCATCCGTTTTACATACCAAAACCAAGTATGCAGGGAATGCTAGACATATTTTACATAATCGTATACCTGACCTGTTTTTAAACAGCATCTTTCAAATCCCATGTACTTTCATCATACCTAACACTAGAGGGTAAAAAATAACTGGCTTTACTGAACACTGGGAAATGGTCCTGAGGACTCCAGTGCAAAATAGTGGTAAGTTTTCTTATTTTAGAAAATAAAAAAAAAAAAATTCATTCCCCAAAGCAGTCATTTTACAAAAAGAACCCGCTGTTCTAGTTTATCATTTACTAGAAACTACCCACCCAGTAAAGACAATACACGGCAATGTTAACTGAATTTCAAAGTTTTGACTTTTTCATCACCCAGCAATCATACATCCTTTCTCTGCCCTTTACGACTAGGCCTCGCTTTACCCTCAAAGGTTGCAACAGTTAAACTACCTGATTTAAGTTATTTACATCTAAAGCTAAACCTAGCCTTAACCCAGTATTCTAAGGTAGTCAACTAGGGCTTGAACAACCATAGGCCCTCATTTCCTCATTAATTTCCAACGACCTTTATTCCGTGTCCGATGACCTCCAGTTTCGCTTTAAGCCACAACACTTGCAGCCGTGGTCTCCAGGGGCTTTCAGAGCTTTTTTTTCTTTTTTTTTTTGGGGGGGGGTACGTAGGGCAGCTAATGGAGGCAAAGCTTCAGCTCTACCTGTCCATTCCTTTCTGTGGCTACGCGTGCTAGGGTCCCCAGCTTTCTCCCTAAACCCCAGGGAGCTAAGGAAAGTGGAAAGCTAGTCTGCGTCTCAGCCCGAATTCCCAGCTTATCACCTCCCTCTTCAGTCTGTAAGTGGCCTTGGGGGTGAGTGAGCCGCAGACAAGCACCCCTCCCCCGCCACCACGAATCCAAGCCCCTTACTCACTAACCTTCCCTGGGCCCTCCTCATAATGGCTCCTACGGACCACAGAGGTTGTGAACCTCCGGATGCTCTGTGCCAACATGGCGCTGTCGACAGCTCCGCGAAACGCGCGGAGAAAGAAGACGAAGGAAATGGCGGTTCTACACTAAGTCCTTTCTTCACGACCTTGTTCCCAAGCGCGCAAGGGCCGAAAAGAAAGATGGGAAATGGCGCGGCGCCCTCGCGCGAGTGGTAGTCTCCGAGGATTGTGGGAATTGTAGTTCAGAACATACTGGCGCCATGCAGGCCAGAAGAATTGTGGGAAATGTAGTATCGCGCCGGGCTCTGGGGAGACCAAAACCTGTGTAGTTTCTTTTCAGCAGTGATTCTTTCTGACCTGAGTTCTTTGTTGCTCTTAGGTCTAGATTTGTGGGACCTGTTATCAGAAAAGATTTTATTGAATCAAGTAAAGCAATTTCACCCGTCACCCCGTGTGCTGTAGTCTGTGGAACAGGAAAATAAATCTATCCGTTCTTTTTTCTTGTGACTACAGTCTCTGTTAGATGTCAATAATTTGCAGTACTCTGCCAATGCAGGGGGAGATGTGTGCTATAATCTTCTTCGAGGAAAGAAAGCATAAACACAAGTAACCAAACAACATACATCACAAAACACTTCAGAGAGAAACTGAGTAGTAGTGCTAAATGAAGGGTTACTGAAGATATAGGGAGTCAAATAGAACAGAAGGAGGAACAGAGGGCAGAGAAAACTCAAATCCGATAGGAACAGGGCAGGTCTGGAGTGTAGAAGAGAAAATCAGCCTCTGACATCCGCACCAGTCTGGAGTGCGAATTGGTGTTTTCCTGATGAATTAGACAATTTTACAAATCATCAACATCAAACAAGGCCACTCTGATAATGTCTGACCAATAAAAGAATATGATCACTGTGTAAATAATATCTGAACATGGATAAAACATAAACATTGTCAAAGCCACAAAAATGACCACCTCATTTGGTATGATACTATGACTCCTGCTTTTTTACCAATTATAATCTTAGTCTTAGTCTAGTCTTTCTTCCTCCTAAGTAAGATTTAGTAACTGGAATTCATGGAAAACAAGCGCAAATCCTGTAAGTCCTTCCTATTGATAACATTTTATCGAGAACCATCAGGCACCAGAATTCCAAATGTTATATAGTTTCTCTTTCTGCAATGAATAATAAAATCAGCTTGTTCAATTATAGGTATGTTCCCTGTGGTCTTTGACTAGAAGGTATTGGAAGGAAACCAGTAATAAATGAGCCTGGGACAGCAGTGTTAGGTTAGATTGTGAAGGGCTCTGCTAACCTAAGTGTTAATGTTACTTGTCTGTGGGATAGTGCCTATTACCTCACATAGCTCATCTATATAGCAATAAAAAATAACTCAAATGGACCTAAGTTTTGCTTAAAAACTGGGTATAAAATGTATGCTTTAGTCTTTTTTTAGTTTTTGAAAGAGAAAATCCATGTCCCCCTAAAATCTTTAAAAAATTTACTGTTTTATTTCTACAGGTAGCTTCCGATTGACTGGGGAATGCATGTAATGCATTATAACTGGTGTCCTCCCTCTAATATATACAGGTTATATGACATTCAGTTTTTTAAAAGTTCCATTCAGTGCCTTTACATATTAAAAGATTCTGATTTAACTATAATTGGGAAACTTTTTTCACATTTAATATTTCTGGATTCCACTTTTCAATCTAATGTAAGTGATGTCATCTGTAGATTTGGTGCATTGTTGCTTCTAATTCATATCAGTTGAGTCTCCTCTGAGAATCTGGCTTTGAGCTAACTTGTAAGGGACCTTCAGGCCAGAGATTCCATAATATAGCTTCAGAAATGTCTCCCTCTTCATGGGCCCTGTGGCAAATTACACAGTACTACAAATGCTTTTTATCAAGAGTTGAGGTCTATGCCTTCTCTTCCTGAATCTGAGTGGACTCTCTGTGACTGCTTTCACCAAAGGAATATGGCAGAAGTGACAACGTGCCAGTGTCCTGCTCAGGCCTAACAATACTGGCAGCTTCCTTTCCTGTCTGTTGGAACAATTGCCCTTGGAACCTGAGCCTTCATGAAATACGTTTGACTACTCTCCCAGACAGGCCTCCTGGAGAATCCATGGAAAGAGGTGGGGCACACTCAAGTGCCAGACATATGAGTGAAGTCATCTCAGACCCTCCAGCCCTGCCCAGACACCAGCTGAATATTGCTGAGTGAACCCCATCAATGGTTTGTAGAGCAGAGTTGCCCATTGAGCCCTGCCCAAAATGCTGTTCTACAGATTTCAGATGACTCTAGCCACAGTTATAGTTGCGTACAACTTTATGAAGCATGTTAAATAAGAACTACCCAACTGAGCCCATTAGTCCCCAGAACTGTAAGAGAAAATAATAAATTGTCCTAAGCCACTAAGTTTCGATATAGTTTGTTATACAGAAGTGGAAACCTGGAACAGGTATCGTGCACTATTTCTTATACAAGTAGCCTAACAATCTATATTCATGTCATAGTAGCCTGCAAGAAAAATGTGAATCATCCTAGAGAAACTTTGGATTCAGTATGATACTCTTTCACATTTTATAGAAGTGCATTTTAAGAGAAATGAGACATTTTATGGATTGACTGGTACAAAATAGAAAATATCCTTAGGGACACAAGGTTTACTCCAGGGATGTGTTTTAAAAATAAAATCCAATTATTTTAAGTAGTGAGTAAGGTGTATATCATAGAATGAGCAATGTACTTTCTAGACCCACATGAGACTTTGGAGGCTAAAATTGCATTACGTAGAAAAGTATATCCAAAAATTAAAGTACAGTATTTGTCATTTCTCTTAACAACTGCTATATTAGATTTTTAAGGACTAGGTTCAAGTTTATTTAAAAATAAATTGTTTAGTGAAGAAATGATATGTCTCCATCCTACATTTCAAAACTCAAGCTAACAAGTTTCTTTTGGTTTTAAGGTTTTATGCCTTCTCACTACTGTAGCATTAAAATCAGGGATTTGTGTTAACATATATTTGAAATTTTATATTGGGGAGGGGTAACTTGGCTTCAGGGAAAGGAGAAAATGTGCTTCCACTGAGGCAATTTAGAGTTGGGAACTATTCTGCCAATCTTTTGAATAATTTAGTGATGGCCCACTGTAAGAGAAAGTTTTCCAAAAAATGCTTACTTAATGATCAAACTATATATTTCACTGTTCATATTGTTTCCTATTTTTAAAATGCCCTCACTGCATTTCTTTTTTTCATGTTGTAGTATTCAAAATTCTACATCCATATCACTTTTTTTAAAACTCTTAAAAAGAATCCATTTCTCTTTCCTTTAAGAGCACATAGAATTTAATTTCTGATACTTTGTGGTAGTGATCTCATGCATTGTAATTAGTTATCTATGTCTTTATCTCATTACTAGACTATGTGCTTCTTAAGAAAAAAGACTGCTTTAACTGTCTTTATATCCTATCACCCAGTAGATACTCAGTAAATTTGTTACATGAATAAATGAATAAAGAATGTTGTACTCACTACAAAGTGGCCCAGTGTTTCTTTAACAGAGTGATCCTTAGTGCAAAATAGATATTTTTTCAGTGACTCACTGTGCCCTTAATTCTAATTACACTCTTTAAACATATTAATAAAAGCTAACATTATCTAGTTCTTATTATATAGTTTACATATAAGATCTCATTTAATCCTCATAATAATCCTATGAAGGTACTATCACTATCATTGTCATCCTTATTTTATTTTATTTTTTATTTTTTCCAGCATATTATGGGGGTACAAATGTTAAGGTTACGTATATTTCCCTTGTCTCCCTCGCTCCTCGAGTCAAAGCTTTAAGCATGTCCATCCCCCAGTTGGTGCGTATCCCACTCATTATGCATGTAATTTACCCATTCTATCATCTTTATTTTATAGATGAGGCAGTTGAGACTCAATGAGTGCATCAGCACATCTCCATTGTTTTCTTGAAGACTTGAAGTCATTGATTTTTGCAGCCATTACACAAATCTAAATTTTGAAATGATATTTCCTCAGTGAAGTCAAATGCTGCAGGGCTTGAGATTGGGGCTGAATTGGGTGCTGGCTGCCTCATCCTTATCCTCTCTCAGCTACTTAGCTGGCCTAGTGTTGGATCTCTTACGCAGGGGGCTCTGCCAGGCTCTGCCACATTTATGGTGCCTCACCACTGCTAGGAAGAGGTGAGGGACTCCTGGTATCTCCCTTGGTTACTATTTTTATTAAAAAATATTTATTATTTTTATTTAAAAATATTTGGAAATAGTTTGGAGATAAATTAAATGTATTATTTAATAATTTATTTATATATTTAAATATATACTCATAAATATATTTATGAGTATATATTTATTTTAAGTATATTAAAATATGTTCAATGTAAATACAAACATATATAAAGATAAAAATATGAATGTTAATAATTATATTTAATAATATTAAATATTTGGAAATAACTTTAAACTTGCACAAAGTTGCACAAATAAAATTAGGATAAGAAAACCCATATAATCTTTAACCAGACCTTCTTCTTTTTTTATTCCATTGTCCTTATCATTTGTACTTTCTCTATACATAATTTTTTTCCTGAATGATTTAAGTGTAACTTATGTTATGCCACTTAACCTCTAAGTATTTTAGTATGTATTTCTTAAGAACAAAAATATTCTCCCATATAACCATAGTGCAATATCAACTTCATAAATTTATATTGAGACAATATTTTTTATCTATTTACTATGCATATTCCAAATTTGTCAGGGGGTCCACTAATGTCCTTTGTAGCTTTTTTTTCCTTTTTTTGTTTTTTTGTTCCTCAGTACAGGATCTAGTCTAGGTGAAGATACTATATTTTGTTAATGGTAAAGATATATATCTTTATTGCTTCAGTTTTCTTTAAGGTAAAACATTTCCACAGCCTTTATTTGTTTTTTATTATACTAACATGCCTGAGTAAAACAACCATCTCTACCTTTTTTGTTTTTTGCTTTGTTTTGAATAAACATCTCTCATTTTGTGTTTGTCTCATATTTTCTTATGAATAGATTGAGGTTATGCATTCTTGGCCAAATACGGTGTAGGTGATCTCATGTCCTTTTAGGGCATCACATGTGGAGGCACAGTATGTCCATATGTCCCTCACTGGTGATAC